AAAAAAAAAAAAAATTATTGGAAGATTGATGGGTGTCACGAGCACGTCTCAATTTTTATTCTCATTTATTTTCCTTATATTCTCGAAGAGACGATGTTTGGTGACGCCTTCTTCTATGTTAAGACTCCTTGAGAAATTTCAGACACCAACGAATCACGTTGGATCAGTCGCAATCAGTTCAAGACGAGTATCGGACGTTCTCCATTGCTCGCTTCCAATTCCCCGCGCAGGAAGCGTTTCCCGTCAAGAAATTGCCCGCTTAACGACTCCAAGGAACACACTTCAGATTACGCTTACTTTATTGTCTCAGATTGTAATGGCAATTGCGCCAAACAATGACAGGATTAACTGTAATCTACGGCTTCCCTGAGACCAGGATCGGAGTAACACGTCTTCGAAGACGTTAACACCGCGACTTCCAAGCTACTTGTCTACATTTTGAAAATTTTATTAAAATTACTCCGCCAAGCCTTCGAAGTTCCAAGTCCAGTTAGGCTCGAGGAAATTGCACCGAAGAAAATCTGGGGTGAAAAGGGTTCCCAACGCTTTCGTCGTAATTTTCGGCGACGACTACTGAACTAGAAAATTAATTTTAAATTAATTCGACGCTCTTCTATAATGTTTCATATGTACAGTAGGTGTTCGGTGAACGTTCTCGTGATTTTTCGGAACAGGTTATTTAAAAAGATCGCCGGTCAGTCGGCTGTGTTCAGCTTCTCTCCCAGTCATAAATCGCTCCGTGAGGTCGTTTAAGAAACTGAGCTTCGACCTTGGCCCACCTCGAGTTTGCAGAATGATATTAGCAAGATTTCGGCACGTGCGTTGGAACTCTGGCCGAGCTGACTGTATCCGATCAGCCTCGACGTTTGTCTTGGTAGCCTTCCGGTCTCCTGATCGTCGTAACACCCAGCCACGAGGTCTGCTTCCTTTTGTTCCATCGAGTAACAGGCACGAGCTCGTTCATTCGATTATATTTTATTATTATATTGTCATTTGTCAACAGTTAGACGTACACCGCCTCTCAAAAGCTCAGCCATACGCTTGGGGGTATCAGGAATGTTCGTAAATAACGAAATGAGAAAATAATTTTATCTGAACGTTAAATTTTTATCCAGTGCACGAGTGGAATTCAGATTTACAATTAACCGCTTCTCTAAAAAATTTTCGGTGCAGTTTTAAAGTGTATTTTAAAGAGAGTCGTATAATTGTTAATATTGAAAAATGAAACAATGTATCGAATCATCTAGAAATTTCTCCGTTTCTCGTTGGTCTAAGTTGCACGGGTTGCGTCGTGTTCCAATCGCGTTCTTAGACGCTCCCCCCCCCCCTCCCCCCCCGCCCGAGGTTTTAATTGCGCGGTTAGGGGAGTCGCGAAGAAAACAGAGCGCGCAGAAGGCGGTCCTTTCGTTTAAGCCCTTTGTGGAGACGGCAGATGCCGAGTGTTCGCGATTTTGCTCCAAGAAGCAGCCTTACGTGCACGCAAACGCAATAATAAGAACTGCCGGACTCGCATCCGGTCTGGCGATATTATTGTCGGTGGCCCGGGACACCCTTTCTCTCCTGCACGTCTTTGTCGCGTTAAGACTCCGCTTGGCGCTCTGTGGTTTCCTTATTCCCTTTCTTGCGACGTCCACCTTGTTCCTGTCGCCCGCCTTCAACTCCCACCTTCAACTCCCACCCTTCCCACGGGAGCGTCTTTTCCTTTTACCTCTCCTCGATTAGTTTTTGGAGATTTTCGTCCCCTTTTCCTCGCACCCTCTCCTTCATTCGTCTCTTTGAAGGAGCCTCCTCGTCCTTGATCTTCTTCGGCGTCTGCTCTCTCGACGTCTCGTCGGAATAGTGACAACCCTTGCGAGGGATACCTCCAGGTTTATTGTTCAAAAGTCTTTGGTACGTCTGATGATTTTCTTTAGAAACATGTGATTCGAAGTTACACCATCTCCGCTTTCCTTCGTCGAAATTTCTGTCCTAGGTCACGTATCATCCAGCTTCCAAACGTCTTGATTTTACGTCATTCTTCATCTCTTCCTCTCGATTCGTCCTCCCTCGAGACATCATTTTCCATTTCCCTCCCTTTATTGAATTCCATCCGGGACGACGCTTGCATTTTCCTCTATATTTTCTCTCTTGTTGTCCTCTCCGCGCATTTCCTGCAATTTCTTTTCCTGCGTCGCTTCCATCTATCTTGTTACGTTTGACAAGTTTTTCTTGCCTGGCATCCTCAGCGAAATCCTTCGCGTTTCCTTCCTGGTGGAATATTTCTCCACGCCGCAAAAGAATTCTTCGATTCCTTCCTTGCGGAGTCCCCTGCTGTTTTTTCCGTATTTTGCGATTTCCTTTCATCCCGTCGCCTTTTTTGTTCGAGAAATATTCCTTGCCTTTGTGCACGGTACGAGAGATCTCTTACGTTGCACGCGATGCCCCCTCTTCGCGCGTTGTTTCTTCCCTTTGCTTTGCCCGCGTGCATGCTTATGTTTCCCTTCGTGTGGCGAACCGCATGATTTTATTGGGAACGGTACTTTGTAGTAGAAAAATAGGTTCAAGTGGACTCGTACCAGGAAAGCTTCGAGCAAAAGGCCCAAGGTGTTAAGAGAACCACATATCTTAGGCGTTAGAGGAGAAAGAAACTAAAATTAAACCTGACACGGGACACTTTCGAACTCAAACGATCAACATTTAACGTCCAATTATTTTTATTTATTTTTGCGTTGTACAGTCGTAATAATACGTTTTCGTTACATCAAGATTACATAGAAACAGAAAAAAACATGCACAGGTTCATGCCAGCCTACTTTATTATATACTAATGTAGAAGATTCTTTTCCAAGTTGCAAGCTCTTCCAAGTAGCCCAGGAGTTAAGTTAAAAAAAAAAAAAAATAATAATTTAAAAAAGGCCGCGTTGGAGCAGCAATGTACGACAGCGAGCTGAAGCTTTAAAAATTATGTTTGTTCGGTTTACATAGCGCGCGCAGCGTCGTTGGCGTCCTTTCGCTCGCGTTTGGACTTGATGACTTCCTTGACAAGCATCTGCTCGTCGGTTTTCTTCCCATGCCTCATTATGTGCCCCTGAACGACGGCTGGCGATGCCATCTTCAGATCGTAGGCCAATCCGAGATACGCGAGGAGTTCGAGGGTCTTGGCGGAAATACTGAACTTCTCAGCCATTCGATAGTCCCACGGAAAGGCGTGATGGAAATTGTGCCAGCCGTCGCCCAACGTCAAAAACGAGGCTACCCACGACTCTGACGGTTTGATTCGCCTGAAACGCGAGCATAAACGAGTTCAGTCTATTCTTCCCACGTAAGAGATGTTGTTGGGAGGTGTATTTACTTGTCATACGGCTTGGAGCCCCAAAGATGCGCGAAGGAGTTGATCGACCAGGTGATGTGGAGGTTGGTGACGTATTGGAGGAAGTACGGCACGAAGAAGGAACACCAGAAGGTCTCGTTCCAGAAGTACATTGGCACTGCGACTGGGAACAACACGCCCACGAGGAAATAGAGCGGCAGGAAATGCCTGAAATTCGGGAGAGCAGTTAGAGTTCGAGTTTTTGCGAGACTTAAGTAGAGAATTCCATGTGCGATCCTCCTATTCTCTGGACTTCTACATCTAAAATCTAAAGTCACAAAAAAGATGTAATGTCAGATGAAAAGACTGCTCCCATTCACCCTATGGAATTTCAAACTTTTTACGTGTTGATTGATTTGCGTTCACCTGTACTGGAACATGACGAGTTTGTCAGCGCGCAAGTCGGAAACGTCGATCTCGCGTTGTTTCTTCAACACCAACGGGTGTTTCTTCATCATCAACCACCCCATGTGGCTGAAGAAGAATCCTCTGTTGGAATTGTGGGGATCCGCGTCGGTGTCGCTGTATTTGTGGTGAAGAAGATGGTCCCTTGTCCACGTGAACATGCTGTTCTGAAATCAGATAGAGCAACATTTTTACAAATTTTAAGGATGTACGTAACTTGTACTAGTAAAATGGAAATAGTAGAGAGAAATGAAGAAAACTCTAGAAAAATTCTGTAACTAGAAAAATTACCTGGCCAGCCATGGTTTGGAAGATGATGAGAGCGACTCTGAGAGGAGGCGTCGCTTTGAAGCTCTTGTGGGTCGATCCACGATGCGCGCCAAGTCCTATCCCTTGGATAGCCAGGAAACCAACGAAGACTCCTGTAAGAAATTCGAAATTGTGCTCTGAAAATGTGGTGGTTTACAAAAATCGTGGCGGTGGATTATTTCATTGAAACTTCGTAAATATCTTTCCTTCAATCGCGAAGTTTCACTTACCCCATGCGATGGTGATCGCTTTAGCGTGGAAAAATGCAGTGTAAATACCGATCAGCCATCCTATTTGAAGAGTAGCGTGCACAACCACGCGCATCCACAAATACCTATGCTTGTAATTCATGTCGGTGCCATATTTCTCTATGTGCACGTCTTCGTCTTCGTACGAGACATCCTTGCTCTCGTGACTAACTTCGGTCTCCATGTCTGTGGAACGCAGCTGTTATATTTTTCAAAGAAAAAAAAAAAGTCGAATAAAAATTGTAAATTTACTTTGCACAGATTTGTTCCTGTTAAATAGTTGTTGCACTGTTTAATTATTAATCGATATACAAACACGGTTACCGTCCACCAAATAAATAAATAACGATACCTATCGATTGGTCGAACGACAGAGCACCGTACCGTTCCTCGAACTCGCAGATTTCCCGAATTTCCTCCATTTTATACAACGTTCGAGGCTCATAAATTGTATTACCGATTCATCGTTGGAAATCACCCTGACCCGCAATTAATTTAACGACGTTAGTCGTCGATATCCGCGATCGTATTCTCCTTGGTCGTTTTACGTATCGCGGAAAAACATCCGGCGAGATTTCGCTTCCAATAGCTCGAAAATTTGCATCCAATTCGTAACATAAAAATTGATCGTTGTTGCTAAATTTAATGGATCGTTTCGTCAGGGTTCGTTGAACGTTGGATTTTCCTTTCAATACGTGACAAAGAAACGTGATATGATCAAGGAAAATGTACTAGACTCTTAGTATTTTATTTATATAAGAATAATACAATAAAATAAAATAGATTGTAAAGTTCTGAAAAGGTTAAATTCCAGCACATCGAGCAGCGTTATTTTCCAGAAAGAGGCAAAGACGCCTGTTCTCGGATCGGAAGCTTTACGATCCTAGGAGCATCTGTCCGTTGGCCACCTGTCGGCAGGTGCGAAACGTACGAGCGGAGCCCGTTACCTTCGAAGTCGGTATCAATTGGCCCTTTTGTTTTCACTGGTTCTTTCCACGGGACCCCGGTTCCCGTTTTACTACGGCGTAGTACGTACGCGCGACACGCGATAGTCGGCTCTCCGGATGTTATCGACTCGAGCCAGACCATGGTGGTCCCCTCCACCCTTTCGAGTAAAACCCTTTAAGCCCGCGCCACGTAAACAGGAAGTGCCGTCCCCGCCATCTTTGCATCCTCCGACGCAGGTTACAAATAATGCTTAGAAAACACCTGCGTCTGGCACGTATCATTATCCTCGATTCTTTTTAAACGTGTAGTCTGCTTTCACTTCGTCTCCCGTTTCTTGGATTTTAAAGGAGCTCTTTTTCTATATTTTTTTTTCTTTTTTGTCATCCTGCTCGATCGAAACGCTTCCATCTTAGTCACGAGCCCTTTTACGCCCAGGATCGCTTGACCGATGGGGATGTTTGAGAATTTTGCTTATCATTCCTTACTTAGTACACTCATATTTTTGAAATATTACAACTTCGATAGAAAGGTACAATTTATTTTTCTCCTATATAAATTACTTTAAATGGCGAGATTAATGTTACGGCGTCCAGATGGGATAACATTTTTCTCTCCTGCGTTTTCCAGTTACCAATTCGCAGTCGCTCGTAAACCGCTCTCCCACCGTTGATCATTTCTTCCGCGATAATTAGATGTCAGGGGGAGACTAAACAGCGTGCGAAACGAGACGAGGAGCGTGGATCGAGAACAATGCGAAATTATTAATAACCTACGGCAGAAAAAGAGCGTCGTGATGGATCGTTTACTAAGACAATATTTTGTTCTTCTTGCAGGCCGCGATACTTCAGCAGACGGCGGAGTACATATACCAGCTGGAGCAGGAGAAGACCCAGCTGTTGTCACAGAACTGTCAGTTGAAGAGATTGGTGAACCAGCACGAGGGTGGCGATGTTCCCATCAAGAAACGCAAGCCAGACAACCAAGGTAAGACTTGGAATAATTATCAAAATGAAAATATTTGTATAAATTTGTCGACGTACGATAATGTTGGATACTCGAACATCGAATTTGGTAGTCAAGGGTAATCATTAAGGGTTGATTAAAAGCAGACGTTTAACGAAGTCTCGTATAAAAGTATACCTTAATCACTCGATTAACTCGTGGATTTGTCAAAATATTTCTATTCAAAACTAGAGATGATTGAATCTAAAATCACAGAATTAATTTTCACCCTCTAGTACTGTATAAAAATAAAAAAAAATAAAAATGTTAAGAGTGGTGCCAAGCTTTTCAAGCTTATAACACTTCCATGATAGCATGTTAATACACTTTTTCATTCGCGAAAAAAAGCAATTCGCGGATCAGCGGGATGAACCAACCCCCAGGCCCTAATTTACCCCCGGCGATAGGAATAACTTACTTTACGCCAGTGACTCGTCTCGTCGCGGTGACTCGTCGGGGAATTTTTTAATTTGTCGACCGAAAGCAGCGCGAAGAATTAATATAGCGGAGTCGTTCGTCATTTTCGCCAGAGTAATTACATTCCTGGTGGTCGGCCCTCCCGCGCCGGATATTCCGTTCCGTTCGCGGTAGGGAAAAAAGTCGCAATCCGATCGATAGGATCGAAACTTCGTTTACTCTCCTTTAGCTCGCGGTGCCATTAAAATTTCAGGCTACCCAGTCACCCGGAAAGGGGATAGCTCCTTGCTTTAAAAATCATTACACTGGGCGTTCCCTTTGAAGTGTTGCAGACTCCTTTCTTCATAAGTATCAGGGGGGTGGCAAAGTGATTTTTACTTCCAACGTTATTTGTCGAGCAAACACATCATTAGGAAAGCTATTTGTACTTTGCTACCGTGTGAGCTTTACAAATGAAACGAACAGAATTTTTGTGTACATGAAAAACTCACGGTAAAATCACAGAATTTTTATTTCTAGTATATAAAACTAAAAGAAAGTATTTCAAAGTAGTACCAAGGTTTTGAATATTTTTAAGTGACATCAAAGCAAAAAAGAGGCTATTCTTTGAGATTGATCAAGATTTGATAATCTCTACGAAAGTATTAATTAAATTTATATAGGGAATAATGTCCAGACTAGCATTAAACGTTGGACAAAAATTTCTTTGTTCCAGCAGGTGTTGTCGTTAGTCTACCAATGCACGTCAGCGAGAGCGGTGACGAGGGATTGGGGAGCATGTCCCCGGAACCCTTGTCGGTGATAACAGTGACCACAGAGGGACACTCCGTGGTCAACAGCGAGGTGGTGGAGCTCAGACGGCAGTTGGAAAGGGAGCGTCACACGAGGCTACATCTGGAAAAGCAGATGAGAGCTATACAAAGTCAACTGTACCCGGAAAGATTCAGGGACAATCAGCTGATCACTTATCAGCCGCACGAGGTATGTACAGCTTCGCTCTACGTTACTTAAAAATCATTTGTACATCGCATTGATCGCCAGATTAATAAACGATTAGAAACATCGAATAGCGTGCACTATATTCGATCTTCTTATTTTTAAATAAAAGACAACTTTATCTGGATTTATTTTCTTTGACACCTTCGTTTAACGAGTGACCTGGCAGTCAATGTGATAATAGCTTAACCCATTTAACTGTCGTATCAACCGCACAAGCCTGACACCTAGAATCCCATGGACTCGCGTCATCCACAGATAGCTGTCAGAGTTCATCTCTAGAGCAAACCGTTTCCGCCTAACCGCGAGTGTTCTGCGAATTCTGACGAGTCGTTTAATACGTTGACTGCCAGATCAGTAATCGTCAAAATTCCTTGTTTCTCTTTAAAATTCACGAATCCTCGTGATCTGTTTTCTAAAAAAAAAAACCACATCCACGAACTCTGGATGATACCAAGTAGAATGAGTTCCCTTTAAATTTGACATGGAATTCAGTTTGTTCGCCGAGTTAATCATGCTCTGAAATTTTGTCGTTGCAGGTGATCGAGCACACGGACAACGTGATCGCTCAGGAGACGGAGGAAGCGGTCGCAGCGCTTCAGGTAGTGTCTGTGGTGTCCCTGCCACCGGTGGGTTCGACGCAAACAGTGGAAACGTCTAGTCCTGAACCAAGTTCGCCGCCCCTGTCGCCGCAGCCCACCGACATGGTGGCAGTGGACATCAAGGAGGAAGAAATGTGCCCAGGAAGCCCGAAGATCGTCGCGTTCAGCCAGAATCCAACGTTTGCCACCATCGAAGAGCCCACCACTGCTGACTCTTTCTCCTCCTCGAGTCGCGTCACGTACGCCTCGAGTACAGGAGACTTCAAGAACTCGTCGCCACAGTACATCACAGCCAGCCCTAGCAGGCCGTTCTCGCCTGTAGCAGAGCCCCAGCGGTTGCCCAGTGTTCTGGAGGCGGCGATAAAGGCGGAACCTAAGGTCGAAGTCGAGAGGTAAGCTTGTCAACCCATTATTCAAAGTGTTAGAGTTTCCGTGTATCAGTTAATCCGTCATATTCACCAACAAACTCTTCATCTTTTCTAAAAGGAATCAAATTAACGAAAGACCACTCTAATTGCAGGTTGCCATCTCCATCGAACACTCTAGACGACGGTACGCCTCAGGGTAGGTTGTACCTGGCGAATACCTCGCGGCAGAACTTGGAGACCATCGTCGAGGCGATACGTCACCTCGAAGGGGACCATCTGTTCAGCGACGAGCCAGCGCAGGACGTGCCCTTGGCGTTGACTAACAAACAAACGGGGAACCCAGCGGTGAAGTCCTCGACGTCGACGACCAGCCCTACAACGGCGAAGCAGCGGTTACTGCAGGCCGAGTTGTTCCAGTTCCACAGACAACAGCAGACCCAGCAGCGACCAGGCGTGATCGTGGTGAAGCACTCGTGATCGAAAGGCGCGCCGCGATCAATAAACTGAACGCGCTAAACTGCTGGCCTCTTGGGAACGAACTGGCGTCCGAGCCGCGATCGTCTCGGAACACGACGTATCATCTGAGTGTTCGTTGTTTTAAAGAGTTGAGACGATCCTTGGACAGTTCGACCCTTGGACGCTCGAGCCGCGGAAGCTCCGTTCCCCTCGATAATCGACGCTCGAGAAGGCCTCCTTGAGTTTGCCGTTGATCACCGACCTAACGGACGTCCGACGAGTCTGGGTCCGGTGTTTTCGTATGTTCCTACTGCCCGTCGTCTGCCTTCGTTTCGACCATCATCGATCCCCACTAGCGTTGGGCAGCCATCGCGATTCATTCGCGACTCCTTTTGTAATTAGCCAGGTTGACGGGTCGATCGGTAATCGTGGGCCACGGTGATTCGTTTTCGTAATGTAGGTCTTCGTTGATCGTTGATTGATATTCGATTCGAAGACGAAGAACGTGGTCCTAAGTTGGTTAAGTATGTCTTGGATTTCTCTTGTAATTATTGTTCACGATTGGTAAGCTGTGGGAGACTCTTTACAGAAGATATATGCACTGTGAATCCTTCTAGCATCGATTAGAAATCAAAGAAATAATTGTTTTTATTAAACGTCTTGCTTCGAAACATCAGAGTTAACCAGGATTACCGATCACTCGGTGGATCGCCACGTTTTGCCCAGCCCTGGTACCCAAGAGCCGCGCGAGGAAACCCGTCATTGTTTGCGTTCGATGGACGGTAGATGCGGTCGGGTGGATCTTGATCCAGCTACGATTGGATCACGACTGTGGATCGAGCGAGATCTCGAAACGAAGGTGGAGCCATGTCGAAGCTCGACGAAAGGATCCTCGCCCCACCGAGTCGTCGAAACGTCTCCCAGCACCCTCCCCCTTTTACTTCTTCTTGTAAATACCACCGATATACATATTATCCCTTCGAGGTGTCGACGAATTCTCTGAATCTCGAACGATTCTCCAATCCTGCTGCGCATCCCGGTTCGAATCATCTCGGTCTCCCTCTTGTTCACCCATCCCCCGTTTCATATATATCCCCCCTTTCTCACCCTTCCTCCATTACTCCTCTTCGCGAATCGAGACAGCGAAGCGGGCGTTTTTCCCCTCGTCGCGTACACGAGGCAGGATTTTCATTTTTCTAGACTTAAGCGACTTGCTACCACAATAATAATATTAATATTAAATAATAATAATATTCCTAGATGATTAAGGCTGCGTACGATGTATTGTACCGATGTATACATGCATACACACGGTATATACGTATATACACGCATATCGATCCTCCAGTGTATATACATGTATGTGTATATATATGTGTATTCGTGTATATGTAGATATATATAATGGACATATTATATATATATATATATTATATATATATTATACATAAAATCTTATTTACGTTCTTTTTTTACATTGTTACGAGAATTAAATGAAAAAACAAAAAGATTGAAAAGTATACACTTGACGACGCTAGGCGATGATTCACTATTCACGCGACGCGCATGACTTTTTTTTCTCGACATTCAACACACCGGGGGTTACCATTTCGAACGTTGCTACAATGAGAGAATGGAACGATTCAAACGAACAAGAATACAGTTAATGATACATACATACATAATTACATACACAACGCGACTAAAACCGAGACACACATGTGTTATACATTGCTTAATATTTGACACACATTAATATGCACCGATGGCCGATGGACGTCTGATCGGAGTTTCGCATAACGGAGTGACCTTTTCGAGGACGAATTTTATTTCTCGTATCGCTCGAGAGACCACGGACTGAAATTCCGTTTAATCTGTGCCAAATATCGAGTATCCAGACTTTTGTTCCTTCGTAGACGCCTAATACCAGCTACAATGGCGGATCGAAGCTGAGGGTCGTTCCCTCCCCTGTAGGATATAACCTCAAAGATGGGTAAACTAGATGAAAATTAGAACGAGTGGAAAACGAACCACCTTTTGATCGGTAATCGATGAACCATGACACAGTCATTTATTTAAAACGTACACTCCATACATTTTCTGAGAAACCTTTTCCAGCAAGACTTTTCTAGTCTTTTCCAGCCCAGAATTCCCTACTCGCGTGCAGCTACGGATGTTTCAGAATTTTTTCGTGTTCTTCGAGGGAAGGAACGATCGATCCTCGGATCGACCCATGTCGCGGGTGGGACAGAACACGTTTCCGATTCCGTTTCCACGCATACGCGCGATGGATATACAACTCTGTTTTATGTTAACACGAGCTCGCATTCACCACCACCACCACCACCATCATTATCATCATATTTTTCAATTTATCCTTTTCGTCCGATTCGAATTCCGACGATGTCGATTTTTAAAGGACTGATAATCACCGATAATCCGATAGACCAATTCTTACAAGCGTTATAATATCGCACGCGACAGAATTCTTTCCAAGGAGAACTGACGTCGAACGAAAGCGCGACAACCGACGTCGTGCTTTTGGAAACGACCCACTAGCATATGCCTACGCGATGGATTTATCTTTAGGTACTCGTTTTTAAGTATGTACGTAAGAGAGTTGAGCGAGACGCCAGGCATAAACGACCGATAAAACAAGGTGTATGGTTAAGCAAAAAAAAAAAAAAGCAACCTTTAGTTAACGTTTAGCGGTTAGATTACGTAGGAATTGTTAGCCGAGATACACGATGAAATACAACAAAACCAAGTTATTAATATTGTCTATCGGTATGATAAATGTGAACGCTAATCCGTAACTTGTACTGTGTGTATATACTATTTAGCGATGTTGCATACGTTATACACGTGATTACCTAAACAGAGCGTACGACGTTGAAGGGATTATGCTTGCGAATGTTTAAACAAAGCAAACAAAAGAAAAAAAAAAAAGTAATGAGAAACGAGAAACCGATCGCTTTCTCGCGCCTGGCTCGAACCCTTTTCTATCGCGCGTTCATCGTTTTTCTACGACTTTCGACTATTTCGACCCGTTTTTTCAACCCCCTAGCAACGTTTCGCGACGCTGACGAATCCTTGGGGGCGATCATTTGTATTCTGTGTCGCGATAGGCGCGAGAAGGCGAACGCTACGAACCTAAGATCCGCGATGAAAGTGTAATTAACGTCTTAGATGTTTTTGGAGGAATCCCTCGCTGGTGCAGAGACGGGCTAAACTCTCATTCGAAGGAACCGTTTCTAATAACGTAGCTGGAATTGTGTAAAAATCGAGTAAAACTTAGAGTTTGTATCATAGGACGAAATTATATTTCACGTTGAACGAATAAAAGCTTGTGTCTTCATGACTCGTTCGATGGAATAATTATTTGGTGGATTAAAATTACAATCTGGACTGTATAATGAAATTATAGCTCAACGTTGATCCATATTCAATTCAAAAATATTCATATTGTTCGAATAATGCTGTTCGATTGAACGAAATTTGCGAATGAATCACAGAGGCTTTTATTCGTCATTAATTATTCGAATCTTTCGCCCATCTCTGCCCGAGGGTGGCACGTACAACGGCATCTCGACGTGGATGTTAGCGCGAGGACGCACGAGGGCCTAAGAAGTCAAAACACGAGTTTCTTCGGGCGTTCCCGTCTTCTTTTACGTTTTCCCCTTTTTCTTACTTTTCCAAACGAATCTCGCTGCCTTTCTTTCGCGAACGATCAACATCCCCTTCTAGGGTTGCCAACTGGATCGCGTATAAAACAAGCTCGTAATAAATTTCCAATTTTACTAGGTAAGCATAATCTTTAGCGAATAAATGAATAACGGATAAATGATTTACCTTGGACTAGCTACCAATATTATTTATTTATTCGTTAGAAATTAGCCTTGCCTTTTATTTTCCGCTTCGATTATTCCTAAAAAAATAAAACACCCCAAATTTTTGCTATAATGAATTTCATTTTATCAGCAAACCAAAATAGGATAAAGTACAAAGAGCTGAAAGGATCGTTGGCAATCCTAATTCCTAGCGTTTCACCTTCGTTTAGAGTCAGTCGTCGCGTGTATGCGCGCGCTCGAATCTCTTTTTATTTTGCTCCGAATACGCCATGTTTCTTACACAATCGTATCACACTGTCAGTTTTGGTTTTTCGTTGATCGTTTAACCCTGTGCCACTCCGACGTCGCACACCTATATCGCTTCTTGGCGTTCACAGAAAACGCAACTAAACAAAATTAAATTTAACCAGCTTTTGTACGTTTACATTTCTTAAAAACACTTCGATGATTACGCAACTCTTGAGGCATAGTTGTTTTCGTATCGTTTCACAATGAAATTTGTGCAACAAACACCGGATCGACGTACGTTCAGTCTCTGTCAATGCCAAGAAGCGGTATACCTATATTTTAAAAGTCTGATTTCAGTTTTCTTTCTATTTTTTTTTTTTTTTTTTTTATTTTTCTTAGCAATGGGTGCCATTGTAGCTCCGAAGCGATATGGCCACCGACCAGAACAGTTGTTAATTACAATTTCTCACATTGTGGATACAATGTTGAATGGTTCATTTTTATTAAAATTTATTCTTCAATTAATATTCCGTTGTCAATGTTCACCGATGTCCTATTGTGTAATTGTTGTCATAGACGAATGATCATTTGAATTATAAGAGTTTAACGTATTCTTTGCCACGATTCATTTTAGAGGAATTTACCCGTTGCTAATATTTACGAAAGCTTTCGAAGTACACATGACACGAAGATGCAAAAATTGAATGCATCGTTGACCTGGTTAAATATTTCTTTTTCATTATTTCAAAGGATACTTTGTGCGAAGCATTAACCTTGCTTGCATATTCCACGATCGTTCACAGTGATTGACGTGATAACAACTGCAAGCCAAAGATCAACCAGTGATTTCTCACTCGATGTGCACGATTGTTGGATGATTGTAAGATTCGCGAAGACGTTGAACCACGTCATCGCCTCACAGCTTCAATTTTAAGAGAGCTGGGTGCTTTCGGACACCAATGTACCTTACACGTAAATGTCTCGTGGCAAGGAACGTGTTGGCACGTTTCACGTGTTCGAGCGCTTCCATAAATGTTTGTGGACGAGCGCGTACAATGTATACGAGAATATTGCGCGCATACATCGCGTACAAGTAAGAAAATAAACAAGCAAGCAGACCCACGCGTATTTACACGGTTTACTTTAGCGAGCGTTTAGGGGGAGGGGGAGGGGGGAGGGGAGGGGAAGAGAACCTAATAGCTCGTTCAACCCGAGCAGATCTCGTTTTCTCGCGAGCTGTTCGTTCTGAATGTCTTTACTCGATTTTTTGATCCTCTATAGACATCTACACACCGAAATTCATTGCAAACATGCGTACGTTCAATGTAAACACTACTACACTTGACGCAAACAGGTTCAAACGCATCTACACTCATCGCATTCGCACAGAAACGCGTCCACGTCCTGCTCAAACACGTCCAAACACAAATCCATTCGATACGAACATGTAAAAACGCGTCAGAACATTCGTATACTTCGCAAACCTACACAAACACGTATTCATCACAATCGTACACAGACACAAGCACGCTCGACACATACAGGTCTAAATTTGGCACAAACACATCCAAACCAGACACTTGCGCGCGCACAGCCGGTTTCTGTTCCTTACGTTCGCGAAGAGAAGACGTCGAAACGAAGTCCTCAGGGACGATAAGAACGCGTAGAGACTGTAACTTCGTGACCTGGTGCGTGGGCGGCTCAATCACGCGTCTCATCCCTATACGCCGTGAAGTCAATTCGCACGGGAACACGTTGACGTGTATTCAAAGTCGACGACTGCGTTTCACAGAAAAAAAATAATGAAATTATTCCTTTGCACAGTCTTGATCGAGCTATCGTTTACTATGCGTCTCGACTCTTCGTTGAAGATAAATCTTTGGAGCACGGACATGTTGGAATTCAATTTACCGAATTAATATATGCAAAAGGATTTACTAAATTAAGGTGTAAAAAGACGCAACGACCCCTTTAGAATTCTTACCATGTTGCTGTTAAATTTTTGAAATTAACGTACGAAAAGAATTTACTATATTATGCGATAATGTATTAAAAAAATGTAACGATATCGTTAGGATTCTTTTTATATGTTAACTCGGTGAGGTTGCGACATTATTGGGTCTAAAGATGACTCTGCAACGAAAAGTCGAAAACGTATGGCTAAGAATTAATTACTTTTTTTAAAGGATGAAGTAAAATTTACAGTGTTCAAGTCCAAGGAGAATACACGTCAGCGTCGATCGTCTCGTACGTGGTGATCGCGAATCTTTTTTACGAGTTTCTAAAATATTGACTGAGTCATAGGAACACAATTGCGTTTTGATTGCTTCGAGCAATTACGAGCAATTACGCGAGCAACTTGTCCTCCCTCCGATTCCCATACAGAGATGGGCAAAATCTTATCCAAACAAGCGTTCGCGAGCAACGAAGAAAAGACAAACACTTTTTTATTCGTTACTCGTCGAATAAATATTTGAATTAGCGAACGAAAGATTTCACATTAAACGAAGAAAATTTTAACTATTCCGTAAATTCGACGAAAGTTTTGCACGTCTCTGTTCACGATTTCTTATCGATCTCTTTGCATGCCACGTACGGTCGGATGGTTTGAACAAGAAGAGTTAAAAAGACACAAAAAAGCAAAAAAAAAAAGGAATATATAATAATATAGAAAGAGAGAAATGAAACTAGGCCGAAGAAACGACGGATTTATCGAATGGTGTTTTCAATTCGTGACGACAGGTTCTATACACCGTGTTTCGCGTCAATTTTTAGAAAGAAAAGTAAACGATGGAACTAATGGGAAATTTTTCGAACCACCGCTACGTAATTCGACGTTTCCGACGCTCCATTGAAGAATGAAATATGATTAAACAAAAAATAAAAAAAAGACCCTTGTCACCCCCGCGATAACGACGCCCGATCGGGGCGAGTTTCTTTTTTTATCGTTGACTATATATAAATTATATATACATATATAGAAATATATACGCGAAAACAATGGCTCCTATAACTTCTTTACAGTTTCGTTAAGAAAGAGGATAAAAATGGGAGAACTAATGGTTCACGCGAAGAATCACGGCTAGTTGCTAAAGAAACGCTAATTAAAGAGAGAAAATGTGTGTGTGTGTGTGTGTGTGTGCGAGTGAGCGTATGTGTATCAGAGATGGGCAAATCTCTTATCCGAATTCAAACTTCGAATAACGAACTCGATGGAATAAACGTTGAGAATAAATCGCTATAGTTTATAACTATCGTGTATTAACGAACAATGAGTCCCTCGGAAGCCAAACCAACTATTTCTTCTTTATTTAATATTTACGTATACTTACTAATATGATTATTAAATAATAAACTGTGAATCGAGAGAGAGAGGCTCTTCCACCACCGATAAAATTAAATTTTGCCCATCTCTGGGGGTGTATCGCGAAACACCGAAAGGGAAGCAGCGAACGACGAGGCGGAAGACGAAGACGAAGAATCCTTTTAATGTTTAGGCGAGCGTGGCTGTGCGGATATCGAGCGACTATAAATTAATTAGATGACAAGTTTACTGTTAAAACTAACTCGATTTGTAACCCTTACGCGGCAAATGGCGACTGAAAGCTGCGCTTCTCGTTCGTCCGTGGCGCGAATGGACGACCGACTTTCCGATAAGATCGGGGGATCCTCGGTCCGCTTTCTTCATTCCCAAGAACGTCAGGGACTCGTGATTATCCTGATCTCAGAGGTGGAGCAAAATTCTAGTCGACATTGAAATAACGAATGGTTAAACTAATCGATGAGAATATCGGAAAGTGAAAGAACTTAGTTTTGCCAATGAAAAGAGTATCACACAATTATTTATTCATTAATGATCGAGTATAAAAAATTAGGATTTTTATTATGAAATGATATCGTGTATTCTGTTCGAGAAATAGAAATTATTAGAATGAAATTTTGCCATCTCTGCCTGACGTGACACGGAGAACGCGAAGCTGTTCCACGCGGTTTGCAGGTCCATCCAGTTCCGACGACGACGAGACCGAATATTAATTAGGCTATTCCTAAAAGTATTGCGCATTTTGCAAGGGAAGAACCTTATCTGTCGTCTTCTGATTCTTATGTGATTCTGTAGAGGGTGGTGTGGAGAAGGCTATGAAAATGGTAGATGGACAGACTGGGTCCTTTCTTTGTTATTCACTCCTCTTCCTGTTGTTTTTAAACCGTCTATCGAAATAAAGTATACGTATCGATACATCGTTGTGAACCTCTCTTTGCGCCGAGTACGAGAATCGATCTTGCGTTTTCGTTGCTCGTTTCCTTTAGTTTCAGGCTAAGAAAAAGTTAAGTTTTAAAAATCTCGATAATTCTGTTTTTTTTTTTTCTAGAAATTATTATTAATAAAGATGTAAAATTTAGACATCGTAGAGATCATAAATGTAGAGTGATTTCTAAATTAGAGCGATCTATAAATTAGAGCTTAAAAATGCGCAATATTTTGTGGGAGACACCGATAGCTCGATAGAGAAGCGGCCGCTGTGTGCCTCGGCTAAGGTGACGAAATTAATTGACCGATTGCTCCGTATTCTATTTTTCTATGGCATCGTGCTTTCGGTCGCCACAAGCCCGAGGGAAAGACACTGGATAAGGCACTGTGGTGTCCGAGCTACGGAGCTTAACTTGGACTCTGCTGACCGTAAGTCGTAGAATTAATTAAAATTGAGACGTGCGACAGTCGAACGAAATAAAAAACGGAGCGCCGAGATACGCGACAGGTATTGCAGAAATTGGGAACCTTTCGGATTTGGAAGTTACTTTACCTATTTCTCGTGTAAGCACGTCAAATCACGAGGGGAGGGGAAAAATTGCAAAACTTCGATGAAGTTGATCGATTTATACAGTCGA